TCGCGAACGAAATAAACGCAAAAGAAATAAATGAAATAAATATGAAACGGACGTGTCACATATAAGATAAATGAATGAAATACGTACGAAATGAATAACGCGGAAGTAACCGAAGCAATTTCCCGTGTTTCAGAGGAGAGAGGAGGCGAATGCTTCGGAACGTCTGTGACTGCGAAACAACCATAATCAGGCGTACTATCGACCCAGCGATCGTCTCGAGCACCTCCGTTCGAGGATCAACCATTCAACGAGGACTGCCACCAACCGAGGGACCCGAATCGGTGAGTGATTCGACGTTAAGTTCCTCAAACTCTTGCTTACGGTCTCGCGCAGCGTCAGCGTGTTTAACACTTCATCGCTCTTCGACGTGCATTTTCGCCTGTGTCTGTACGTTGGGTAGAGGACGACCGGCGATCGTGCCAATTGTTCTAGATAGTAGAGAATAGAAACTGGTCCATCGGTCCGTTCACCAAGTCGCGATTCGACGGCGAGTGCCATAAGCGGTGGCCGACACGTGGTTGCACGTGCTGCACGTGGCTGGTATTCCAATGTATCAACAAGTGTCGCTTAGCCGCCAGGATACAGCAACGACGCACTCTGGATTCCGATGAACCCGGTTGAATCATTCGACGCCTAATCGAACATCTTAGGCAATTATTTTTTGTACTTCTTTCTTATGGAGAAGAGAGAAGGAAAAATAATTGGATAAGATGTTCGATTCTTCTTTCTTATGGAAAAACACTTGGCCTGTAACGACTTGAAAATTGTACGCAAGACATTGGACACGTTTTTACACGAATGAAATGGGAGAAGTGTGTTCGTTAGATTTTTGAAAAATATCAGCTCACAGGGGATGAGGAGACGAAACTTTTTTGTATTTGGAGCCGACTCGTAGAATGCTTAGTTTCGAAAATAAAAATTGAAACGTTGGATGTTTGATGGAAAAATTGAAGTTTGGGAAGAAGGTCTTTTTAAGGTTCTAATTTTTATGTCTGAAATGAAACGTCGTATGAAGAAATTGTATATAGAGGAAAAGTTCCGTCTTATCGTTACCTATTAGCTGATATTTTGTTTGAATTCGATTGCTCGACTGTTGTTTGGTTTTTCGTTATGACAATAACAATAGGATCAGACCGATACGAGATCTCAGGAAAAATGTCTCTCAAGTTTCGAATTTTTATTTCTGAAACTGAACGTTGTATGAACAAACTGTACAGAGAAAAAAGTTTCGTCTTGTCGTCCCCTGTAAGGTGATATTTTTCAAAATTTCGACAGATCAGTAATTTTTGAGTAACGATGCTTTCCATTTCTGCCGTTTCAAATTTAATCGAATTCAGGGAAAAAAGGTTAATCAAGTTTTGAATTTTTATTTCTGAAACTGAACGTTGTATAAACATACTGTTAATAGAAAAAAGTTTCGTCTTATCGTTCCCTGTAAGGTGATATTTTTCAAAATTTCGAAAGATCAGTAATTTTTGAGTAACGGTGCTTTCCGTTTTTACCGTTCCAAATTCAATCAAATTCAGGGGAAAAAGGCCTTCCACTTGTCGAATTTTTATTTCTAAAACTAAACGTCGTATGAACAAACTGTAAAGAAAAAGAAGTTTCGTCTTATCGTCCCCTCTAGGGTGATATTTTTCAAATTTCGAAAAATAAGTAATTTTTAGGTAACGATGCTTTTCATTTCCGCAGTTTCAAATTTAATCGAATTCAGAGAAAAAAGGCCTTCCACTTTTCAAATTTTTATTTTTGAAACTAAACGTCGTATGAACAAACTGTAAAGAAAGAAAAGTTTTGTCTTATCGTCCCCTAAAAGGTGATATTTTTCAAAATTTCGAAAGATCAGTAATTCCTAAGTAACGAAGCTTTCCATTTTCACCGTTTCAAATTTAATCAAATTCAGGGGAAAAAGGCCTTCCACTTGTTGAATTTTTATTTATGAAACTAAACGTTATATAGACAAACTGTAAATAGAAGAAAGTTTCGTCTTATCGTCCACTATAAGGTGATATTTTTCAAAATTTCGAAAAATAAGTAATTTTTGAGTAACGATGTTTTCCATTTCTGCCGTTTCAAATTTAATCGAATTCAGAGAAAAAAGGTTAATCAAGTTTTGAATTTTTATTTCTGAAACTAAACGTCATATGTAAAAACTGTAAATAGAAAAAAGTTTCGTCTGATCATCCCCTATCAGATGATATTTTTCAAAATTTCGAAAAATAAGTAATTTTTAGGTAACGATGCCTTCCATTTCCACCGTTTCAAATTTAATCAAATTCAGAGAAAAAAGCCCTTCCACTTTTCGAATTTTTATTTCCAAAACTAAACATCGTATGACCAAACTGTAAATAGAAAAAAGTTTCGTCTTGTCGTCCCCTATAAGGTGATATTTTTCAAAATTTCGACAGAACAGTAATCCCTAATTAACGATGCTTTCCATGTTCACGGTTTCAAATTTAATCAAATTCAGGGAAAGAAGGCCTTCCACTTTTCGAATTTTTATTTCCAAAACTAAACATCGTATGACCAAACTGTAAATAGAAAAAAGTTTCGTCTTATCGTCCCCTACAAGGTGACATTTTTCAAAATTTCGACAGATCAGTAATTCCTACATAACGATGCGTTTCATTTCCACCGTTTCAAATTTAATCAAATTCAGAGAAAAAAGCCCTTCCACTTGTCGAATTTTTATTTCTGAAACTCAAAGTTACATAAACAAACTGTAAATACAAAAAAGTTTCGTCCGATCATCCCCTACAAGCCTATATTTTTTTAAACCTCACACCTGTACCCATCTTCCAACTCCCAGCAAAAATCTTCCCGCAGTCAACGAATGAAGCCTGACTGACTGCGCGTCAGGTCCAGACAAGTCCGCTTCTTATCAATGAAATCGACAATGTTCCCGTACCCGAGTCCCCTAACCGGGGCGACCGTCGTTTCGGAATCCGACTCGAACACCCGAACGTGAGTCGTACGGTGTCTGGAATCCCGCAACCGTGTCGCGCAGCGTCCAGGTACGCCTGGACGCGTGATCGCGATCGTAGCGAATGAAAAACGCCGGGAAAACCGTCAAAGAGAAGGAGAAACGCGAGTTGTCGCGCGGGTCGTTCCCGTGCTGGTCGCGCGACATGGCGTGTGCTCGTCGTTTCTTTTACCCTCCTCCTTCTTCTTTTTTTTTTTTTAATTCACAACGCGTCGAGCTACGCCAGAGAAAGGAGACAGCAAGAACGAAGCGCCAGAAACGTGGGTCTACCCTGTCTTCCACACGGGCCCCAAGAGATCTCCCCCCCTTCGGTCCCACCCCTCGTTCACCACGCGTTGCAGCGCGCGCAGGTGTGCGCGGAACGGTCCTCTCCCGCGCTGGAGGGGGCCCCCCGTGCCGGTCGAGCGAGCGCACACAAACACAGTCACGCGTGGTACGACGCGGCGAGGGGTGGGAGCGGAGAGGGCGGAGAGGGCTGGGAAGAGGAGAGAGAGAGAGGAGGAGGAAAGGGAGAACCTGTGCCCGGGCCCAACAGGCCCCCGATCTGTGGGAACTGTTCGGCTCGCGAGCTTCCCACGATACGCTCCGGCTGCCGGCCGTGCACGAGCTGCTCAGGGTTCACTCGGCCCCGTCTCTCTCTCTCTCTCTCTCTCTCTCTCTCTCTCTCTCTCTCTCTCT